CCTTAATTTTTTTTCTAATGTAATTAACGAAAACTTGTGAAAATATTTCATTCAAATTAAACCATTCTGAGAAAACTGTCCTGTGAAAAGTATAGCATTTAATTTCCGTTCAGAATTAAATGTTGTTTAAAATATGTTGTTTTTCACATACTTAGGACTCTGAAGTGTTGTAGAAAAAGAAATATATACATTATATGTATATTTGCGACGTAATTACAAAATATTTACACCCGAACGCGTCAAATCCCATAGAACTCAATGGTAATGACCCAATGTTTTGGTCACCATGTAGGGATCGCCGGTGCTTCAGAGCAGGGTACGGAGAAACTTGTTTAGGGCGACTCCATCTTACTTCCTACCTCCATGAGGAGTCCCGTACATTCTCCATTCCGACAATGGGAGGAAATTTTTCAACCAGATTGTAAACAGTTTATATGAAATGTGGGGTGATATAAAAATAGTTCACGGTAAATCGTGACACAGTCAATAGCAAGGTTCTGTCGAACGGGCGAACCAAGACTTTGAGAGCGTGTTGTCAACAAATAAGACAAAATAGTCGGAAGGATTAAAATTTGTTCAAGCAATGAAAAACAAAGCATACCATTAAAATTATGTGTGAAAAAAAAATTATAACTATTAACAAAATCTCGAATCAACATTTGATTTAGATTCGCAAGATAATAATAATAATAAATGTGAAAAGAATCATACATAACAATGGAAGTAGATACTGAAGTTGAAATTGAAAAAAGAACTAGATGTATGCTCTGACACAAAGTGCGAGGTTATCAACAAAGTTCAGAATGTGAAATTGTTTCTAGAAACAGCTAAGGAAGGTCTTGAAAAGCAGACAAAAAAGATGACGTCTGCTAAAACTGTCATTCTCGGACAAAAAACGTGAAAATAATAGTACCTTATATGGATAGATCGAAAATGGATCCAAAATCAGTAATAGCCGTTATTACAGATATTAAAGATGACGAGTTTTATATTCTTGGCACTAAGTTTTTTTTAATTAAAATCGTTGTACACAAGAAACCAGTTTACCTTTTACAAAGAAGATTTTTTAAACATCGAAGAAGTTGGTGCAGAAGAAATAAGTGAACGTGAATTAGTAAGAAAACTTTCTTTAGTTCGAGGACAAGGACTCAGAAAATTCAACTGTTCAAAGAAATGTACCACGAAGATGTGTTTGCGCAAATCAACTGATCTGTTTGTGCAAATCAGCAGATTTACTTTGTAATTCAAAATGCCATAACAATCAGTCTTGTTGTAAACAGGTACTAAGAAGTATTAAAGTAGTAATAGTAGTAAAGAAAAACATACTACATTTTTCTTATTTTTTAAATTAAATATTTTTTTCTGTTAATTTTTTTAACTATTGCCATAATTACTTTTACAAATTATTGAAATCGCTTCAGTAGTTGTCGAAAGAATTGTTCAGATTTTTCACATTTGATCTAATTTGTGAAATGTCATAAATGTGGCATTTTTTTAAATTTTTATTTCTGGTCGCTCTTTGAAAAGTAATTGTAAGGCAGTTCCATCGATATAATCTTAAGTCATACCTTATTTTGATCACTATTACAATTTATATTATCAATTAAAAAAAAAATAAAGTGTGTCTTAACTATTTGGGACACACTGTGTACTATATATCTGCAAATGGAAAATCTTATCACAAGTAATCCCTCGTTTCGGGGTTTTACTGAAAGGTATTGGTAACTCCTACTTTTTACCGCAAAGGCTTAGTAAAACGCCGAAAGGGAATCATATTAAAACATACTTTTCGGACTTTAATATCGCCACTTTGGTAAAAGCTAGGTTTTAGTGATAAAACCTAAGATTTTTACCATAACAAGTATATCCGGTCAGTAAGACGGAAATTATAAAGGAAGGCAGTCAGTTATGTAATCATTAACTTTGAACATAAGAACATAACAGCATAACAGCATAATACACTTGAGCATAAGAACATAAGAGCATAACAGCATAATACATTTGAGCATAAGAACATAAGAACATAACAGCATAATACATTTGAGCATAAGAACATAACAGCATAATACATTTGAGCATAAGAACATAACAGCATAATACATTTGAGCATAAGAACTGTAAGAAGCAGAAAATGAATCAAATTTCTTAGAAACTTCGCTTAATTACGGATAAAATATTCCATAAACACAGAAACAACGCATGTAATTGTACAATGTACAGGTTGTAGAGGAAACAATTGCACGCTGCCCTAGAAAATCAGTCCGAAAAACTGCAGCCGCATGCCAAATTGAGCAAAACGGCGGAGCATAAGATAATGCGTAAGTTCCCGTACATTGAATTCCCGTACAACTGGCCTTGTTCCCGTACACAGTTCAAACACAGCAATCGCTTCAGAACGTATACGTAGAGAAAAGCAACATTTTTGCGAATGAAATTCTGGACATGGTTGATAGTGGGAATATTGATGTGAATTCTATATGTTTTTCAGATGAATCCATGTCAATGGATTCGTCAATAAAAAAACTGGCGAATTTTGGGAACTGTGAACCCTCATGTTTGTGTGTTCCACAATCAGTCTATGCTCAAAAAACTGATTATATGGACAGCTGCTTCCAGAAGAGTTAAAAACTGGACCTTTTTTTTTTTTTTTTTTTTTTTTTTTCGTAATACAATAACTTCAGAATGATATTTTCAAATTTTGCACGATTTTGTGGCCACTGAAGACATTTGGTCGAATCACCCGCGACATCCTATTTCATGCAAGATGGTCCGAGGCCTCACTGGACTGCTGCAGTTTTCAGTTTCTTAGAGGAGTATTTTGATAGCCATGCAATTGTTTTAATTATTTTATTCACTTCACGGGAAAGTGAATAGAATGGCCACCGTATTCACCAGACCGTGCGATTTCTTCCTTTGAAGTCACTTGAAGGAGGCAGTGCACCGGAGAAAATCCCCGAACACATTAGAAATTTGAAGAAATAATCAGTGAAGAATGTGCAGTCATTTCACTGGCCACTTTACAGAAAATGTCTATTAATTTCGTCCTCCGATTACGACATCCGATTGCAACTGATGGTCGACATTTCGAAAATATTGTAATGTAATTTTCATTCATTAAAATTTAGAAAAAAATTAATGTGATTTTCAATTATTTTTCTTTGATTTATGGGTTTAGTATCTGCAGTGCCACTTGTCGGGAGTTTTTTAACTAAAACCAGGAACTATAAAAGGAAAAATTTATGGCTTTTCACATGAATTTGCTGCAAGAACTGCTTTTTTAACCTTAATCATTTTCCTAATATATATTTTTGAAAACTGTCAATCGATTTTAAGACAGCCGGTATATATGTGTGTGTGTACATTTAATTGCATAATCCTTAAGATGCAAGCGAAGTTCTTTGTCTTGATATTCTCTCAGACTGTATAACAACTTTATTTACGCAGGGATCCGATGAATGGTCATATGAATATTGTTCCATCATCCGAATTAAAAAGATGAAATAATTCCATTTGCTATGCATGAATTGCAATCATGTACTAGTTTTATTTCATTTCTCGTCTCATCATCATCGTCATTATTAGCGTCATAAATTTATAATAACCTCCCAACCGGGACAGTGGTTAGCGACGCTGACTGCCTTACCGAAAGGCTCGGGATCGAATCCCGGAGAAGGCATGGATGTTTGTAAATGTACAGTGTCTGTGCGGCATGGGGGGCACTCTAAATATGCGGCAAGCCTTAAGTCTTTTCGAGAGATTGATGGTAGAGGAAGAGGGTACTGTCACCTGTATGATGTTCAAGGCTCTTGCCAACGTCGGACGCAGTCTTGCACTCCTTGCCACGATAAATTTCGAGGTCTTGTTCTGATGTTACTGTCAGCCAAGTGAGATTAATTACAATAACAACAAGTTATAATTATTTTCAAAGTCTTCGCCAGCCAAATCTAAATAAAAAATAGCTTCATCATTTCCGTCTTCATCAACTTGTTTCTTTTTCTTCTAGTGCTTTCCTTTTAAATGGTTAGGTTTATCTTGCATGTTTTATTTTACAAGTTTATTGTATTTGTTACATTTTCTTCGCTGTAGTATGCGCTTTGTTTTAATTGATTTTCTTTTATATATCTGATTTTATTCTGAATACTGGCAGTTTTACCATATTCTTTATTACTTTAAAGTGATTCAATTGCATCAAATTCTTAATAGCTACAGTTTTTCTTTCAAAAGACAAATCAAAGACATTCAAAGAAAAATTTAATCTACGTAATATATGAAAACAGTTTAATCGTGCTTTTTAAATTTATTAAGAAATGCCACTGTAACTGCAAACTCCATTTTCTAAAATGTAATAAAATATCATGACACGTTAAAAAAAAAAAAAAAAAAATTTTTTTTTTCATTGTTTCAAGTAGTACGATAAATATTTCATGTATATTTTGTTTCATGACGCATTTTTATTTCACAACTAATGTCCTTTTCAGTGAGCCATCGTATCACATCAGAACAGTTCTTAAAATAATCTCCTGTCAAACTTCTGATAAATGAAAACATAAACTTCAGTATAGAATATTTAATTTGTAATGAATAGATTAAAATTTCTTGAAAATTACATAAAAGGAAAGAACAAATACTGTATAAGTGCAGAAGCATTGTATATAATTTTAAAACATCAGGTAACAACATTACAAACTACAATTTTCTAAAAGCTTTTAACAGCTTTTATTCCAAACAGAATTGCACTGTTCTAAAATTTGATCATTCGCTTAACAAACAGTTTGCCGTTTATTATGCAGACTCGGTAACTACTTATTTTTAAATTAGCAAAATGATTGCCTTTCTTGAATTTAAAGATATTACAAAAAATATTTTTTAAATTTCTTTAAATTAATTTTTATAAAATTTTAATTATTAATAAGAAATTTAACTGCTTTATAGAAGAACTGTTAGTTACAAATATGTTTTTTTGGGGGAAACGAAAATGAAAGAAATAATTCTTTACACAGCTGTGCAACATGAACGTGCTTCTCGTTCGCAGCCGAGGCGTCGATCAAGATTAGTCAGCAGTTCATCTGAAGCAACTCAATGTTACGTTGGGGCGAACCATTTACGACCTGCAGGCCAACATGCTACAGTAATAAATAGCGTACCTTTGAGTGTCGGTCCTTTCTGCGGATCCGAAGTGGGGGATATCAGAAGGCTAGCACCTACGAACACCCCATTACTACACCACATGAGCTCTGGTATTAACATGAATGGGCCTGCATCCTATCGAAGATCTGAAGACGAAATAATTCCTGACCACGGAAGGCCAGTATGTGGTAAGTCGCATATTTTTCAGATGCGCTTTGTTCTTAAAGCTGTAAATTTTAGAAAATAATCTTCTTAAACTGGTCTTACTCTTCTTGAGCCAATGCATTCTAAAGAAATTACTTTTTGAACCAAATTCTGCTACAGACTTAATATTAAATCAAACAGTATTAATTTATCTTACAAAAGTTAAATTTGATCAATTTTATTATAAACTGCACGTAAGAGTATACTGCTTTTTAAAACTAGTAAATTGAGTAAACTAAAATCTTTCACAATTCAAATTCGACTGAATACTACGTAATCATACTGTTTCGGAATGCAAGATTATATGTAACACAATTCTTCCTCTTCCTTGTAGTATGTTACATGGTGAACATTTTCAACAGGAGGCAGTATTTTTTATTTTCCGCTCTATTTTCATCTTTTCATTAGTGAAATACTTTCAATCTTTACTTATTAAATGATGCCTATAAATGAATGCATGTATAGTCTTAAGAAACTAAAACGTGTATCTTCCTCCACTGCTGAATAGAAATTTTCTTTTCTTTTAAAGATGATTCAAAATTAGATCGAAAATATTACCTATATTAATTGCACTTAAATTGTTATTACAAAAAATACATGCTTTTAACAGAAATGTATTGACTAAATTTTAAAAATAATTGTATCATTGACGTCTTCATTGTGTGACAGCTAGCATTCCAAAATTTTGTATCGAGCTTAAGGAATGTTCGTAACTCAGTGATAATTATTTGAATGTATTTATTAAATAACTTTTATATACTGATGAAGAGTGAAATCTTTAAGTATTGTTTGTTATATTCCTTCGAACATTTGTGTCAAATTTATGAATATCTGCTTCACGTAAAAAATAAAAATAAGTTATGTTTCCGGAAAAAAAGGTTGTACAATTTTTTTTTTTTTTTTTCAATGTTTGGAGTAACTCTATTGGTTTAAAGACTGCTGTGAAAAGATAATAAGGGTGGCAATGAAAACACTTTGTAGTTATTGCTGTTTAGTCCTATTTATTATACATGCCCATTTACAGCTTAACAGAACAGAACTTCAATGCATGTTGCATGTTTACAACTCTTCGGGTGTCAGCGTAGGTTGATGAAGCAAATATAATGTATTTCAGTTGAAGTAATGATTGAGGGTAATTATAGATAGTTCTGTCTACATTCAATTTAATTTTCGTTACTCTGGCAAATACTTTTCAATAATTTTCGATCAATGTCGTCAATAGGAAACACCATGTTACACCAGAGCCGCCCACAGTCGGCTCCCTTTACGTAGCAAAGTAATAAACAACATTGTGTGTGCGTGAAAATTACTTTAACCATTATGAACTGCAATGCTTTTTAACTTTTGTCAGATATCGTGTGTAAAGAAAATTGTTTGATCGACCCATATATATAATGCAGTTTTAGCGTGAATAAGAAAGGAATGTTAATTTGAATCGAAATTGATTCATTATTGAAATTTATTAAAATAATTGTAAAAATGACCATAAAATCAGCCAAAAAGGATTTAAAGCGTATCAAGACATGATTTCCTCAGACATAAATTTCTAGAATAAAATTATACGGAGATGCAACGCTTATACTATTCTTTGGACTTGACTTTTTTTCATAGTATTGCATATTTTATTTTATATAAAGTGATTATTTTTATTCAAATTTTATCACTTCACATTTGCTCATTCCATAACAGTATTGATATGTAATTCAATTTTAATCATATAAAATACAATTTAAATGCAGAATAGCAATTAAAAGTATTAATTTAACCTAAAATGATGCGTGCTAATGATTACAAAGCAGATATTAGGTATTTAACTCGCAATAGAAATTTAATTATATTTTTTATCAAGTGAAAATGGCTTCTGTAAGAGATTATATTAGATTTATTATAGAATGCATACAGATACTCATATGTGCAATAGTTAGTAAATATAATAAATGAATAATAAAAATATATTTACACTACTTTTTAGTTTCGATTTTTCTACCGCTTTCCACCTTTCATTTTTCGAGTAGTTGTAACTTTAGATGGGAAAACGATATTTTAATCTATCTAGATTTTCTTTTGAGTATACATTATATTTTAGCAAAATGGCCTCTATAAATCTATCTGATTTACTCATATTTTCAGATATAAAGCCTGCAAGTCCATCTCAAATAAAAAAACCATCCAGCGAAGATTGCGCCTCCAGCGACGATTCCAGAAATTCGTCTCCTGCGGCACAGCCACGCACCAGTCCCACTTCTACTGTCCACCTTCCTGCTACCACTCCAGTTTATAGAAGCAATGTTCCTCCCTCAGATAGCATTTCTAGATCAGCCTATGTTACTATAGAGCATCCTAGATGTGGTCCCATTGGCAACATTGCAGCACCGAATGGCTTGCCAACCACATTCTTAGGTCCCTTTCCACCAAATCCATTGGACACAATATATGAAGCAGCCGCCAAACTGTTGTTTTTTTCAATACGTTGGATGAGAGGAATCCCATCTTTTCTACAGTTAGGTTTTCGAGATCAGGCGATCTTGTTAGAGGAGGCTTGGAGTGATGTGTTCGTGCTGAGCGCTGCCCAGTGGGGATTCCCATTGCAGGAAGGTAATTGTTTACGAAAGATTTACCTAAAATCATCCATTCAAGTTCTACCTTTATCAAATTGAATTTCAAAAGTATAAAAGTTTACAACATGTGTAGGAATGAATTAAACATGGAAAATATCTTTGAGACACTGCCTCAAAGATTCTTTGCTGCTTGGAGGGGGGGGGAACTTGGATTTCTGTGATATTTTAGGAACTTCTAAGAGTGATAAAATTTCATGATACATAATGGCAGCAAAGGGAACTGTGTAGTTAAACAAAACAACAACAACAAAATAAATAAATAAATAATAAATAAATTAAATTAAAAAAAACCTTTAATTTAATATGCATGAATTTAAATTCCACGATTATACTTTAATAATGATATTAAGTGATTAGTGAAAAAATTACCAGATTCTTCATTATTCAGTTTCTTTAAATATAATACAGGGCTCTAATATTTGGTGGTAAAAATTTAAAAAGTGATTTATCGTTTATAGTGAATCAACGTAAAACGCCAAAATAAATTAATAGCCCTTCTGGGCGAATCAGCCCTTTGGACTAAAGAAACAAAATGCTGTTATGAAAAGTAACAAATGTCATGTAAAATTACAATAGGCTTACAGAGTAAGCAACTATTCATTTAATATTAAGCACTTTTAACATAAAACAAGTTTCTGGATAATATAATCTACATTTCTTAACATTGTAATGGTTTTTTTATATTGCACATCTTCAGTTTTAAACTTATAAAAAGCTGCCTTCATTGAAGGTCCGAACACTGCTATGCAAGTAGAGTTTTCTTTTGCTGCTCATTAGCAAAGTAAATGAAAACTTTACTGTAAATTTAAAGAGTTGTAATTTCATGTCTTGTAAATTTAGAAAATGCAGCTATGGTGTTTACACATTTTAGAACGATTTCGATAAAAAATTTTAGAAAAGCAAATGTCTTGGAATACAAATTTCTGGTTACAGCTTATTATTTGAAATGAGAAGCATCATCTGCTGCTTTTAAATTTATCCTTTGAAAAGGTTTATAGACCCCCTATATACTTTTTCAACGTATTCCTGCAAAGTCCCTTGGAATTTCATCTATGACTATTGCCTGACCTTTCACCTATCGATTTTGTCTCTTGAAAAAAATCTCTTTCTAAGCGCAAAGTCACCACCATTGATGGACTCTGGAAAGTAGTGGAAGAGGACAGGAAATCAATAAATATCTTGGAAATTTTATTAAAAGCCCTTCTCTCATGGAAATCACGATGCAGACTTATAGTTCAGAAAAAAATCTGTCATATCGAACATTTAAAAAAAATTTTAACATTTAAAAAAAAAAATACTCTTTGCATTTTAAACACTAATTAAACGGCCCCGAAATCGTTCTAAAAATTAGTAAACGTCCTCTGTAAATTTAACGCTTATTCAGTCATTATTTACAGACACGCAAACAAAACACCAGAACCAGTCTTTCCCCTTTCCAAAATAACAGAATAGTATGTATATTCTGTTATTTCCCATGGGAACAGTTATTTACTGGTATCAGTTTTATAACAAAATATGAATATTTTCATTTGTTCATGTGTTCTTTCGTAAAGTATCTTTCCCAAAACATTATCTATTGATATTTTTAGCACTGTATTGATTCCAGCCATTTGCTAATTCCTGAAGTACAGATATTTTCTACTTCGAAAAATTTACTTTGCACACATTTTTTTTTCACTTATCAAAACTTACATAAAAACATATTTTCCCTTACCCAAAGAAATCCAAAGACAGTGTTCGTTTTACGAACAAAAAGTGAAAAATGTAAATAGCCATCCGCGTTCAAAAAGTGTTTGGTAAAGTGCAATAACTGAAAAATTTTTTAATTAATTTTGTTTTTTTTTACTAAGCAACACTATTTCTTTGTTGAACAAATAAATCAAAATCTCACATTAACAATAAATCTATCAGAAGCTCTAATCAGACCATTTTAAATACCCTTCGGCATTTAAAAGCAAAAGGTAAAGTTTCTAAATTTGTTTCCGGATTTCAAAACCCCCAAATATGGTACAATTATGCCCCCTTCCGCATAGGTTCTCCAATGGAATTTCATTTTCTATTACCTATTCTGAATATAACATAATTTATCACTATTAATGATTTCGCTTTGAAAACCAAAATTACGTGTACTTATGCAATATTTTTTGTATATTAATGATTTTCATGATTTTTAATTTTCCTTAACCATATAAATTACAAACGTTTAAAAATTGGTGGTGTGTATTGATTGAAGTGCACACTTCTAATGAAAGAAACTTAAAATGTATAACATATTTTCACTTAAGACAAAATTACGATACATTTACTAATTTCAGAATGCAGAAATTTGAAACACTTTACTAATTCTATATTATGCTTTGCAACACAATTTTACTGTTCGTCTATAAGGTCTCATGGTAAATTTCTAACCAGTTATTTTAAGTTAAGCTACTTTCATATCAAATCTTGTTTCATTTCCCTGCCAGAGTGTAAATTTCCAGCACTTGCGATCTTCAGGTTAGGTAAAAGAAGGAAGTACTTGAAGGAAGGTTTAAGAGAGTGAAATCAGAGCGTGTTCTGCCTGCTTGAAGGCCACGTTGCTAACTTTGATTCCACCGATTAGAATTCTGAGGCGTTGAGTTATTCTTGCCATTAGGCTTGTTTACGCCAACTTCGGCCAGAGCAGTTTTGCGCGCTAATTATACTGTGAAGCCTTTCCTATATTTAAACTTCGTTAATTTTTGTTTACCAGTTATCTTTGGTTTAAGCCAAAAGTGCTGGCTTTTGTAAGCACGAGTTGGTGCCGCCTTTTAAACTTTATTTGGATTAATAAAAAGGTCCTTTACACCCTTTCCCTGTCTCTGTGGTATTTATAAGACACAGTGAAAAGTCACTAGCTGTCTTTTTAGAGTTCTGATTTAATTGTATGTGCTTCTCTAAGAAAACCATATCTTATAAGTCTATCCTTGATATTACAATGTTATATTAGAAATTTTTACTTAAAAGTATATGCAACCTAAATTCTTTTAAAAATAACTTTGTTTACACAAACTTAAAAATGCATAATCCTTACTTTTCTTTGCTCTTCCCCCCTCCTTTAAATTGCTCAAAATGAATTTATTTGCCCCTTTTTTAAATACAGAGTTTCGTTAGTTTTATTAAAATAACATTTAAAAAACTGATTAAGTAATTTCTATTTCCCTTTTTTCAAAGAAATGCAAATGATAAACTATCAAAACAAATCAATATTCCATACTAAATGAAAGACATGTTCTTTCCAATTAGTCTTGGGAGTATGGCTTTTCTTCTTACTTTTAAAACGCCAATCCACTCAAATGTGTCGATTCTCAAGCCCTACATGAGATTTTATTTTCAAAAATATCCTTTAAAAACAAAAAGTTAAGAAACAGACACTTGGGTCCTTTCATGACACCGGCCCACCATCAGCCGAGCGGTAAAGTCGCTGAACACTGGTAGTTCGGTCCGGGTCTCGAAATCCGACGAACGGGCTAGTTCATGGGCGCTTTCGTAGTTTTCTCCATGAGCAATGTGTATACGAGCCAGCTTCCGTTAGAAAGTTCTCCACGGGGACATCGCCTCCCTTAAGCAGATAGCCCTCGAGTGCTTTGCGGTAATTAAACAAACTAAACCACTCAAAGGTGACCCAGTATGTTATTTATCAAAACAAACATATAGTCGGATAAATTTTTTAAAATAATTTAAACTATATTATTTTTTGTTTTAGGTTTTCTATCTTTTGCCGGGTTTGCACCTCCAGACAAACGTTCTTTAGTAGCTATTCAATTGCATCAAATGAAGACCGTGATGTCACAATTAATGGCACAGCAAGTGGATCATACAGAGTTTTCTTGTCTTAAAGCGTTGGTGCTATTTAGACCAGGTGATATTTAATTTATTAATTACTTGATTTTGAGTCTCTGTTTACTGAGTAATTGGACAAAGAATTAATTACCCCACTCTAATAAAACTGGTGCAATAATAACGGTGCATAAAGATACAAGTCGGTTCTGTTTGAAAAGTCTCAGGTCTTCCTAATAACCATGCACCAGCATGAATATGTTTGCTTCCTTACGAAAATCAGCTTGTAACATATAAAAAGCAACCTTCATGAGGGACCGAGCACTGCTATGTAAGTAGGGTTTAGTTTGATGCCCGTTAATAAACCAAATGAAAATCTTGTTGTAAATTTAAAGAGCTATAGTTTAAAGTATTGCAAATCTAAAGAATGAAGTCACTTGAAATCGTATCAGTCATCCTGTACAATTCTAAATCTTATTCACTCAATTATTTACAGGTAAGCAAGGAAAGCACCAGAACACGTTATTTGTTCAAAATAAATTTCTAATACATGCTTTTATTTTTACCGACATATAAAAGAACTAAATGAAGCTTGATTTATGTGCTTTTATTTTACCGACATATAAAAGAATTAAATGAAGCTCAATTCAACTTTTCTCAACTTACATTTGTTTATCTATTTAATGCCTACATAACTTAAGTCGTCTGTCTATCGCATTTTCTCTATGACTTGTTGAGTTTAATAATATTGCCATATACTGAAGTAAGTATTTCATTTCAGAAGCAAATGGGTTGAGGGATCCTCTTCAGGTAGAACACCTTCAGGACCAAACTCAACTCATGTTGCATGAGTACGTTTTGACAAAACAGCCGCCATCTAAAGTGAGATTTGGAAAATTATTGCTTATCTTATCACTCGCCAGAAAAGTCAGTGCTGCGGTCATTGAAGAAGTTTTCTTTCGAAAGACCATTGGATCTGTGCCCATCGAGAGACTCCTTTGTGATATGTTTCAAGCAGCATAAAAATTGATATATTTTATTTAACATCATAGATCTGGTTAAGATCGGAAATCAAAAAATAAAATTTCCCGTAATAACCTATGTATATTGACAAAGAAATCATCATTTCAGTATGGCAAGCTTAATTTCATGAACATTGAAATTTTGTGCGAGAATTTAATTAATTACAATTAATGTTGTGTATACTTTATTTTGACAGATTCGAAACGAAGCTTGCTAAAATTTTAATTTTCACTTGATAAATAAACTGAGCTGAGAAACAAAAATGATTAAAATAAAATATTTCTTTCAGTGTGACAGGCTTAAAATAAAGATCGAGTATTTCAGAAATTTTCAAATAGTGAGTTTTGAGTGAATTTTAATAGAGTGACAAAAACTTAAATCTTGTACTTCTCAGTCAGTAGGATAATTGTTAAATTAAATTAACAAAAATACATTTTTAAATTAACACAAATAAATTAAAATTGTCTCTGATAATTTGGGAGTATAGTTAAGTGTTCTTATTCAAACTTAATTCAGACGATTATAATTAGCTCAGGTTACATTTACTAAAATGAAAATCTTATTAATATTTCAAATACAAAATGTTTTACTGAAAGAAGACTTCTAATACTGTATTCGACTGAAATACCATACTTCGAATTTAAATTTCGTACTTAAATACGAAGTGCGACAAATAATTTGTATTTAAATATCATACTTCGAATATTTTTTTCCCTCTTTCGTGAGAAATGTTTTTATCAAGCTTAACTTAAATTACTAAACTGTGTCTGATTTACGAACAATTTTTAACAGTCAAACAGCCAGTAAATATTATATATACCAGCGAATGAAGTATTCAGAAGAAAAGTGAAGTAATAAGTTCAAATCTTCAGTAACATTAAAGTTACTGATTACTTAACTTGAAATATACATAAATTTCTAAACAGGTTTAATTTTGTCTTTGATTCGAAGTCCAGTAAGTTTTTTAACAAGAAGAAATATTAAAATATTATATGTTATAAATTTATAAAAAGAGAAAAAAAAAAAAAAAAAAAAAAAAAAGAAAGAGAGAAATTCCACTGTCACTGAGATTGTAATTTGTTTAATTTGAGTAATTTTAAATTCTCCAGGTCTATGAAGTTATTTCATGCAAGAGTAACAGGAAATATATATAATTTTCAAGAGTTCTTAATTCAGAAGAATTACATTCTGCATATGTGTATGTACATATATATAATATACCTATTTACTGAAATGTATAAAAATCTTGTATTATAGGATTTATATATGCTGTTATGTTATATTTCGAATTGCTCTCTTTGAACTATTTTCATCCCACCGATGAACTTTATTTACAACACAAATTTGATTTAATGCGTTCCAACTGCAAGTCTAGTCAAGTAAAGGTTATATAATTTATTTAAAATTGACGTTTGAATTATATATATATATATATATATATATATTGAGAAACTGATATTATGTGATGTTAAAATTCATTATCTGTAGTTTATTTTGTTTGTATAAAACCTATTTCAAGTTGTGCCATTTCACTTATAAAAGAGATATCCTTCTCAAGTGTGATTTTTAATTTCAGTGGCATTCATTCACTTTCATTATTTAGTTAAACTTTTTTATTAAAAGAGATATACGAAAACCAAATTTTTACCCCTATTATCGTTTTTGTTTTCTGTGTCCCTTTTCTTAATGTAATTTCACTGAAGGATCTGTACACGTATAAGGAATTGTAGCTTTTCCCATACGTGCTCTTACGCTGTAATGGTTACCCCATATACCTAATAAATGGAAGATCCGTTGCTCGAATTCTGATTTGGGCATCGTTGATTTTTAATATACGCTGCTTCGAAAACCTTAATTGTCTTTATAACCGTATTGTATGAAAATACTGTTGCATGCGTACGAGTTTGTAATGAATTGAATGCATACAGAACCGATGATATCGTTATAAAATTTATTTTTACCAAAAGAAACACTTTACAGTTCTGAAAACATTCCACGAAAATACCCGTACGGCTCCTTCTCAGTATCACAGAGTACAATGAGTTGTTACATTTCAAGCTACTAAGAACGGTAAGCTCAATTCAATGCAAAACGCATCTGAAAGGGAAAACTCACACGGAGATCTCAATACTCCGAAGTTAGCTCTAAGCTAAACTGAGAACTGATGCTTACTTAGGGGTTATATAGTTTTCCTCTGGGCGCCTAGAAATCTCTAGTATCTTCCATTTCTCGAAATTTCTGGAAGGCATATATGGTTAAAATTACCTATGAGGGCTGGATACTGTTACACTTACACCTATAGGGATCAATTACAGTAACTCATTTACAGTATCAATTAGTTATGTAGTGACTGAAACAAAATGTCGCCAAATGGCCGCCAAGTTTGGCGATTTTTGGAGATTTATCGCAAAATTTGTTGACAAAACTTAACTTGGCAAAACCATTGCCATCTTGGCGATATCTCGCCAATTTATGGAGATAACCGTTTACCTCGACGTTAAATAGAATTGCCCCTCTAATCTTATTTTTCCGACAGAGCTTCATCTCTTGAGACATTTCATGTTACATTTATAAGATATTTCTCCCGCCTTCTTAACGAACCTTCGTGGTGTAATGGTCTGCACGTTCAGCGCGTAATTAAGAGGTCCGTGGTACAATTCCCGGCGAAGGCGTTGCATATTTTTCATCGTGCCTGCTTCCCCCCCCCCGAAAAAAATATCCAATGTCTCTATTATACAAAAGATAATAACATTTCACAAGTAATTTCATAAAATTATTTACGTATATACAAAATTCGTAACAATACATGTGATTATATTTTCAACTCTTCAACAAATAGCATACATACTTTAAGACGTAGTTTATTTTTCTTCAAACATGAAAACAAATATCAGAGACTCCGCGATGCATACTCCGTCTATCTGTATCATACTGCGGCATAATTCATTGAAAAGTCGTTTGCGTTATACAACATGCTGTGGACGAATTACGTAAAAACATCTTACGGAGATCTCAATTCTCGAAATAGGGTAAATCCTTAAAAAAAAAAAAAAAAAAAAAAAAAAAAAAAAAAAAAAAAAAAAAAAAAAAAAAATGTTAGTTTTAGAAATAGCAAGTTCTAGCTGAATGTCTTGAAAATATATTAATGTTTATGACAATATGCTTTGGATGAATTCCTTGAAGAGACGTTGGTTTTTAAGGCAACATGGTCTGATTGAAATTCTTGAAGAGACGTTAGTTTTTAAGGCAACATGATTGAAGTTCTTGAAGAGATGTTAGCCTTTCGGATAGCATGTTCTGTCTGAATTCAAAAGATGTAAGCCGTTAGGACAGAATGCTAGATTCAATTCCTGAAGATATGTTAGTCTTTTAACGGTGCCCAGATCCTCTATTTTTCAACAGAAAATTATACAGGCTTCTCAGTTCATTACTATTATTTTAATAGTTTCGCAAAGGTTAAAAAAATTAAAGGCGTTGCTTTGGAAGTTAAGTTAAAAAATATTTGCACTATTACTTGTCATTCCCTTTTTTTTTTCTTAATTTTTGCTTCATTTTTTTTCAAACGTTTAGTTTGAAATTTGTTTAGTCTGCCATGTCTGTCTTCGCGCCAAGTTTCCAACGCTTTACTTATTCGATTGTGAACAAATATTTACTTGATGATTAGTAGCCATTTGCTGAGAAAGTTTTCTTGCCACTTGGAAATTGTTACCATGCAAGGGAATGTAGTTACTACATTTTTTGCCAAGTAAAAATTAAATATGTTGATAATTAAAGCAAACATTTGTTGTTAAGTAAAGCAAACATTTGTTGTCGTTTGTTAAGAGCAGCTTAAATGATATCTTCTGAAAATCGGCGTATTAGGCGCTTCGTATGCCATTATGCTTACAGCCTACCCAGCAAATCAGCACGTTGATATACATGCTTGGCTAACAATGAATAACTGTAACTGTAACTGACTTTTCTTTTATTAGCACATGAAAATGCAAAATTTTAATTGACCCTGTAAATAACTGTTATTCTAAAAAATTAATTTCCTTATTACTGGTATTTTTACTAAATTACCCATCTATTAGACATTTGTTGGCTTAGAAAAAGATGAAAAGCTACTTCATTATAAGGATGGCTATGCAGGACGTATTTGAGCTGAAATTTATTAAGTTCAATAATTGAAAACATCAGCAATGTATCAAAAAATTATTAGGTTTAACGCATTAGAAGCTACACAAAACATTAATATTTTAAATGATGGAGTATTTTGAGCACTTTTTAAAAGACAGAGAGTTAAGGACTATACTGGGAGAAAATTGGAGGGCATTGACTAAGCGAATGCTTATAAAGTAAGTTTCAGTAAAACATATTTACCGTTCTCTTGTGTTTTATTTACCTTTATGAACCAGTCATTTTGAATTAGTGATGCGAGCAACGAAGCTTGCGATTGCGAATGTAATTTAATTTAAAAGTTGCAGTCCTCAGAGGACTGGAGAAAAGGCGTCACCTCGATATCAAACTCTTCTTACACGTTCCATTCGAGCCTCGCCGGAAAGAAGGCAGTTTTCGTATGCAAGCAAAATAATATCGCAAGGGAATATATTTGAATGCCGATGCGGAGACTCCCAATGAGCGCAATCAAGGGTTGCCATCATTGCATTCAAATTCCGGATGCTGGGCACACATAAACAACACCCATGACTAGGCAACTGCAGCGAAAGTATACGTGACAACGTCGCCCGAAACACATAATAATCCTAATAACAACAGTAAAAAAAGAAGATGAAAAGAAACGAAATCGTATTTTGATTCAGTTGAGAGGCTTTTCAAGCCAATAACCAGCGAGCCGGTAGCTCGCGTTGCGCCTCGCTTTTCGGTGCTAAATGAATTTCAAGATCTTGAATGGAGCAGCATTGGTCTTTGATCACCTTGGCAGGCCCTTAATCACAGCGCATTCACAGAGGGATGTCCCGGTTGTCACGTGACCATCAAAGCTGCTCAGGGTGGCTATTCAGCCAGATAATTGAGTTAATTTCCAAGAGTTTCCTTTCGGAGAGAATCTTTTATTAAGTGTGAATCGCATGGTGTCGCCACAAGGCCACCGGGGTCGTTCATACGCTGCGAAAAGTTGTGATTCGCTTCTCCTATCTCAGCCTCCATTAAATTAAATTACTTCCAAAATCTATAGATAAAACAGCTGGAATTTAAATCCCAGATCAGTACAGAAATAAAGTTTAGATTAAAAGCTGCGAAGTTTGTCAGATTAAACCTTAACAAAAAATGAGTCAAACTACTGTAAATAATGAATAAAATATAATTGGCAAGAACGTGCTCAACAAGAAAACAGATTTCTTCGTTTGCACCTATAAACTCTCAAAGCATTTTTATTTGAAATCAGTATCAAAGACAGGTTAGTGTTTTCTAATAATTAAATAATTAAATCTGGCATACATCTTTGTGTATATTAATGATTTTCAGCATTATATCACCATAAATATTACTTAAACAATAAAAGTCAACACATACTTTTTTTTATAGAAAACCAAGCGAACAACAAATAGGTTAAAAAATCAATTTTTATAAAGTTATTGCTTAGTATATATAAAAATGCTGTTTACAGTGATATAACACATAAAGTAATTTAAAATTGGTTAACCTTTCCTTTTTTTATTTTTTTTTTATTTTATTTATTTTTTTTTTTATTATTATTCTTGTGCGTAATGATAGATTTGAAAGTAAACATAGCTTTGTTACAAACACCTGCTCAACGAATTCGTTACAAATCCCCCATATTTTCTTTTTATTTTCTCATCTTCCTTAGAAAAATTGTGTCTAAATGCATGGAGGAAGGAAGTTGGAGTGGCCTTAAACCAGTTTCCCCCATACCCTGCTTTAAAGTACTGGCTATCCCTTCCTTGGTGATCAAAACATTGGGTAATTTACCATTAAGTTCAATCGGTTTTGACACGATCGGATGTGAATATTTTGTAATTACGTCGTAAATATACATTTAAACGCATATATTTTCTTTCTGTATAATACTTCAGAGTCCTAAGCATATGAAAAGAATACATTTTTAAACAACATTTCATTCTGAACGGAATTAAATGCTATACTTTTCACAGAACAGTTTGCTCAGAATGGTTTAATTTGAATGAATATTTTCACAAGTTTTCGTTAATTATATTAGAAAGAAATCTGAAGGTAATTCGATTTTATTCGGTTAAGGATTACAAAAATTAAGATCAAAGTTTATTGTATTATTAATATTAAAATTATGCATTATTTCTTTTCTATTTATAGAGCTTCTTCCTAAAATACTTCAAATAAGACAAGATTTTTTTAGCTTCTGAGGCATCTTTTAAGTCAATTTATAATTAATGCTCTATTCGGTCCATTTCAAATTAGAGCATCTTTTATTTTAATAGATAAATACTTTAAATAGTAGTTAACTTTCTCTGAATATTTTTGAAAGAGAATAAAATAAGGATTATTTTTTAAATATTATTTAAAACTTGTAACTAAATCCTTATAAAATGTAAGAGAAATAATTCTTTTAATTATACTTATTAGATTTTTTTA